TGCTCCATCCTCCAGGATGGAGGGCCTGATCTGGAGAGCCTCCCTGTGTCCTATCCTTGTGATCTGCAAGGCTTTGTGCTTTGGTTTGGTGTGGGGAAAGAATGCAGCACTTCAAGCTGGTGGGTTTTTCTCTTTTTCCCTTCTACTTGGTGCAAGATCACAGAGTTGGTTCTCTTCCAGCTGTGGTGGTAGTTAATGACTATCTTTTGGGCATGCAAAAGCTCTGTGGTGGTAGTTAATGACTATCTTTTGGGCATGCAAAAGCTCTAGCGAGATACTGGTATTGCTAGCTTATTGCATTCTTATCCTTTCCTGCACTGATTAGAAAGACTGTGTAGAGGCTTGCTTTCTTCTTGCTGTCTCATTATCCATGCGTGCTTCCCAAAACCTGCATGGGATTTGGGTTTTCAGAGCCTTTCTGTTTTGCTACTAGATCTGTGGCAGGGTGGAGTGAATTGGTAGAGTTCTCTAAATTTTATGGTTTAGTAACTCAAACTGTATTTGCAGATGAGGAAAGATTCTGCAGGTTAAAGAGCTACTGATCAGCAAAGTGTGCTTTATCTGCTAGATAGATTGGCCCTAGTTCTGTGTTGCCCACTAGATTTCGTCTGCTGGTGCAGTTCCCTTTCTGGCTTTGCTGTTGCAGGTGGGCAGGATGAGGATCAGATATTACCACATATGATCCCACCGTTTCCCCAGAACAGACTATTCCAGAAGGTCCCATCTTTTGTGTGTGGGGGCGAGGGGGAAGGGGTGCAATAAGTCTGCTCCTGTTGAGGATCAGTCAGAGGGAACAGCTGTAGCAGAGTGAGGAGAAGACTCTGGGTAGATGATGATATGGCAAACCATGGTCTGTTGAATATAGAAAACCAAAATGTCAGGGCAGGAGGAATCGGTTCCAGTGCTTGTGGCCAAGATGTGCTGGCTTTTCAGAGGTCATCCATCCAGCTGAGGAGGGAACAGCAAGCTTGAGGATTGCAGGATACAGCAAAGTAGGGGCTGCAAAAACTCTGTAAAATAATCCTCCTCTTATGGGTGTAGCAGCATGAGATGAGTGGGGCTCTGCAGAGGGCTGATCCCCATGTTGGCTGCTCTATATAACCCCAGGGGGATGCGTCTGGTCCCAAGTTGATTGCGTTGGTGAGGAAGGGGAGTAGCAGGGTCTGGGCATGTGCAGCTGCAGGAAGAAGCTGAAACTCTCCTGACTGCTGCATAAAGTGCTCACCGTTCGGAGCAGTTCCAGAAAGGCTGGGTTTGGAGGCACACACAAACTGGACGGAACTGCTAACGTTTCTCTGGAACTTCTATAAGGCAATCAGTGAGGGAGCAGTGGGTTAATTTGATGGCAAATTGTTTTTAAATTACAGCAATGCAGCTCCATGGCCTTCTGGGACGTTACACTGAAGTAAATGAGAGAATGCAACCTCTAGGGCTGGTACAGGCAGCTGCAGGAAGAGAAATTCAGCAGCCTTTTGTTTTTTCTTGTATTGGACCATTCCTAGGTTACTCACTTCTGTCCTGATTTTCTGAGACTCTGATCCTCCTAAAGTAACCTGCAAAAAGAGATTTAGCTTGTGACTCCTTTTCACTTAGTCTTTTTCCTTTGTAAAGACCCAGTGAAACATGTGTTTTTTTTTTTTTTTTTGAAGTTTGCCCTGTATATTTATCCTCGCAATCTGAGGAATGTCACATCTTATCATCCCTGTTGCTTGCTGAGAAGCTCCTTGGGGGTCATCTACAGTCCATTTTCCTCTACCCTTGCCTGACATTAGAAGTGTTGTTTTCCCAGCTGGTGGTGAGATTTTAAAAATTGAATGACTTTAAAATGAGCATGGCAGAGTCCAGCTAAGTCCCTTCCTTTTTAAGTTATTCAGACTTCACCATCTTGGAATCAATGTTTTCTAGTTTTCCTTGGAGACTTCCATGAAAAGCGGGTCAGACAAGACTTTAAAAGATAAATGCTTCAATCTCAAAATTAAATTATTCTAAGTCTTTTCTAACTGACAGAAAGATGCAGATAAAGGTCTCCTATGTTTAAGTCAAAAGGACATTGTTCTTTCAATAGTTTCCTTGAAGAAAACTCCAAGTAGTATGGAAAAAAAGTGTATATGTGACAGGCACTAACATGCAGCCCTCTGTTTCACAGAGGGTGTGAGTTTTTGTCACTTGCATAGAAAGATGATGCCTTTTAAACCATCCTGCCAGATACTCTTAATACCTTCTGCTGCTCTTCTTCAACCTCTCTGTCTAGCAACTGCATCTTAAAGAACAGATGAAACCATCTCAAGAATGGCAGGTCCTAATCTCAGTAACAGTTCCCATCCATTATAGGGTATGAAGCGAAATAATCTGTGAGTGGGTTTATCTCAGATCCCACATAGTGTTTTTCCTCATCAGCAGCAAGAAAGGGAAATTATCAGGCAGTGAAGCAAAGCTGTTTATTTTTAACTTATTCTTTCTTTCTAAGTTATTTCATAACTGAAGGAGATAGGGAGTGCCAGCCAACGAAAATGCACAGATAAAGGGATAAGCTGATCCCAGGCTCTCCACAGAGGATGTGATAAGGAGTGGGTAACACAGTATAGGCTGTTGGGCCTTTTGCTCCTTCTTTGTCGTCCTACTGGAGCATCAAACTGAGTCCTTAGCTGCCTGTCAAAGGAGATGGAGGAGGGCTGATTGAAAGGGTGCTGCTTACAAGACCTGCTGCTCCCCTCGGTTTTCTGCTGCTCACCGTGCTCTGAGGGTGCCCCTGTTGAGCCTCTAAGGAGGCCTTTACTCAGAGCAGGTAAGGAGGAGTCCTGCTTCTTCATGGAGGAGTGTGTACAACTGTGGTCAGGGCACGCTGATGTGGCAGCGTGCCTGGCTGTGTGCATGTGGACATAGGTGCACACCAGGGAGTAAAGAGGGGCACAAGGGAGGGCTCCTGTGGAGTGGGGTAGCCCTGGGTAAAATGCCTCTCCTCTGTGAGTTACTGCTAGAGAAGCCTGTTCTGCTCCTCACCTTTCAAACAGAGTTTCTCCTCTGCATGTTATTAATCTTGACTGCTGTACATTCTTCAAAATGGCAGGAGGATAGTCCTTGGATTCATGCAAGCTGCTAGATACTTTACTGCTCAGAAGAAGATGCATTATACTATTACTCTCCATCCCTGCTGGACAGTTGCATCCCAGAGTAAATTATTCCTATTCCAGGCCCGTTTCATTCATTGTTGCTCTCGGCTCTGCTGCTTTTCACAACCTCTGCCCATAAGAACAAGAGGACACAACTGAATTGGTAGATGGGTGTTATTGCAGGACTCTTTCTCTCTGCCAGCAGAGCTGACAAGCAGAATTAGGAAATCAGTCTATCTGGAGAGGAGGCTGCATGCTCTGGCAGCAGCAGGGCACTGACAGGCTGTTCTCAAATAACCTTACAAAACACCAGTTCTTACCCCTGTCTTGCCTCTGCAATGCTAGGGGACAGCTGAGCTGCAAAGGGCTGTGTGACCATCTCACTTTTGGGCCCCTTTTTCCTCCAGTCCTCATTTGGATGATGCCCTTATTAAAGCCTGCGGTCTCTCTCTTAGCAGGCCCTCAGGTCCTAGCCCATTTCTAAGTGTTTGCATGAATGTCTGTGTCTCACTGTCAGATACAGAGTTTGGGGGGGAAAAATCCAGGGAAAGAAGCTTTTGCAGGAATCCTGAGCAAGTCACAGAGTGAGAGGTAGACGGATACAGCTCAGTCGCATAAAGGGCAGGAGCTGCCAACTGGTTAAAAGGGCAATTGAGGGTAGCATTTACATTGTCAGGAGGACAAGAAGAGAAGTAGAGAGGGTCCCTTATTGTCCTGGTCACTGTTTGTTACCTTCAGCCCTCTACAATGCCTTTCTTAGGATCTCACTTAAGTTGTGAAAGCCTCGGGGCAGAGCCCTCATCCTTTGCACCTTACTCCCCATGCAGGTCCTCCTGGCTGAGGCTTTTCATGAGCAGAGGCTACTGTGATGCAAGCCTCAGATGTGGTTATTCTGTCTGTGCTTCTGTTTAGCTCTGAGATCAAATGGTAACAGCCGAAGAAAACAAGTTCATGTGTTTAAGAGATTTATTTCGAGCATATGTTTTGCCCAAGAGTGCTGAGCTATATGGTTCCTGGTAGGAAGATTATCATTACTTACCATCTCACAAATGCTTTGAGGAACGTGTTTGTCCGTGTAGTGCTTTGAAGCTAAAAAGCATTGTGGGAGTCACCCTTGGTGTTCCCTAGTTAGGAAAATGAATAGCTCAGAAGGACAGAGAAGCGTAACTACAAATTTACGAGCATAGCCCTGTGCTGGGAGCAGAGTGATGCAGCATTGTAAGCTGGAGTGCTTCAGTTGCAGTGAAGGCAGATAGTAAAATAGTAATTCCTGGGCAGGAAGATCTGGATTTGATGCTCCACCTGTTTTTAGTACCCAAGTTCATAACAGGCTTGGTCTTATCTTAGTGTCTATCAAAGTTTGTTCCCATCGGTAGAGAGGTGCAGAACTCTGCATGGAGGCTGACCTGAGCAGCTGTAGAAGCCGGCAGTTAAGCAGATTGTGAATGGTGATTAGCAAGCTAGGAGGGAGGTGTGCTGGCAAAACTAGCATTGTGGGACCGAGGGGTCAGACGGACTTGTGTTAGTGTACTGCCTATTGTGTTACATTTGGGTGTACACATGGTAATTAGCTCCGTAATTTAATAAGGTCGTGTCTGCTTTTCCTGGTGACGTGACGGTATTTGGAAAACTACTGCTGTCATGGTTATAGGCTGATCCTCTGTTCTTATGAATGGAGAAACTCTGTAAATTTGAGGCATTCCTTGCTGGCATTAGGAAGATTTCTAGGGCCCACCTCCACGTTGTTACTCCTGTTCCAACTATTGGCCATTAAAGCCACTTATGTTGAAAAACAGGTGCCAGAACTGTGATTTATCTCAGCCTTGCTCCTCCTGTGCTGAGACATCTGTGGATACTGACTCCTCTGCTGTATTTGGTTGTCTTTGGCAGGTTTTGGAAGTGGTGCGGTCCAACTATGACACGCTGACCCTGAAGCTGCAGGACGGACTGGACCAGTATGAGCGCTACTCAGAACAGCATAAAGAGGCTGCCTTCTTCAAAGAGCTGGTAAGCTGCCTTGGTTCTGCGGAAACAACAACCTCCTTGCAAAGCTTTTGCTTGTGGCCTGTGCAGTGGCATTTGGGGTACTGAGCAGCCCTGTACCTCCGCAGAGCTGCCTGTGCAGATGGGGCAGCAATAGGATCTGGCCAGGCGCTATAGGTCTCAACTGATCTGAAAGCTCCTGCCCTGCAGTGTCTGGCTGGGAAGGAACCATCAGACTGCTCAGGTCAGCAAACGGCCGGTCAGTCTCTGTCCCTTCTTTTTGCCATGGTGATCTAGCATGCTTTGAAGTGGTAAATTTGTATGGTGGAAGAGCTGACTGCTCCTGCCTTGGGTTCATCAGGCAGACCAACTTAAAGTCTTCTTGCTGTTGTAAAGGGGCCTCAAAGCCTGAGGCTGAGCAGAATGTGTGATGCTGGTCAAACACCTACCTGCTTGTTGATTTCCTCTAGCCCTTACAGAATGGGGTCCCCCAGCAAAGAAAGCAGAAGTATTCCCTAGAAATAGTTCCTTCTGCTAGAAGAGGGGTCTAATGGTACGAAGCTCCACAGAAGTAACAAAACTGTGGCAGAACTGAAATCAAATAATTTGGGTTGGCGATTGTATTCTTCAACAAGCCAGCTTGCTCACCCAGCTCTGGAGGGCTTGGGCACAATGATTTGGTCAATATATTTTCTTGCCCAACAGCTACCCTACCAGGGAGCCAATGTTTTTGTAGTGGCTGGTGTCTCTGAGTCTGCTTTCCTCACTTTTGAGTCGTTACTGCTTCAGAGAGGGGAGAGATCTCTAACTCTGGCACCTTTCTCCACCAGTTTGAGAGCTGATTCTCTCTTCCAGCTCTGTCCTTGCTGATTGATGAGTAATTGATGCCTGCCCACTCCATCACGAGCCTGCATGAGTTTGGGAACGTTATGCCTCTCTCTCTTTTTCTCTCTCTCTCTTTCTCCTCTGCACCAGAACAAGCATGCCTGAATTGCTTTTGCTTCCTTCTACGGGATGCTTTTTAACCTTTTTATGATTTTTATGTCCTCACAATACTGCCATTGGGCAGGGTATGGGCAACTATCCCTTGCGATCACTTTAATGCCATTTTTTGGTGCTCTTCTGTGCCTATTCTGCTCTCTCTCTGGAGAGAGATACCATGCCTGGAATATGTGCAAAGAGGCTATAGCCTCCATATGACATAGCCTTCTCCCATTACTGTACCCTGGAAAAAAGACACATTCATGTGTCTGTCGTCATCTGTTCTGTCTCAAGGGCTTCTGCTCCCCTCAGCTGCCTTCTCCTTCCCCAGCCTCTTGGCCATATGACTGCCTTGCTTCCTGTGTGCCCTGCTTTCCACCTGGCCTGGCAGAAACAGGCTGATTATGCCAATTGATTAAAATGACATTCTCAATCCTAAGAACCTCACAGCTACCAAACACTTCAGCTACAATTTTCTTTGTAGTCTGATGTTTTTTGCAATCCCGGTGATCCTTCCCAATTTTGTATCATTTAAGAATCTGCTTAGCATAATCCAGTCAATTCCTCAACTGCCTTCTGAAAATTACCAGTCCAGGTGCCCCTGGGACCCTCTCCTCAAGAGCATATGCAAGCCTGAATAATTACTGTCTAAATGTGCTGATTGACCCAGTTGTGAATCTGTTTAATCCACATTTCTCTAGATGCCCTGAGAATTGGGACCCTATTAAATGTTCTTTACTCACAGCTACAGCAAACCTCTTGCATTCTCTTAAGCTGTTCCCTGCACAGAGAGAAATCAGTGTGATGTGATGCGTCTTCAGCAAACCTGCTCGGCCCCCTGTCCTCTGCACTGTTTTTCCCCTAAGTGCACAGAAACTGATGGCTCTATTAATTGTTCTAACAACTTATCAAGGACTACCATTAAAATGCTCAAGTCTGCACTGCCCTCCCCACGTACGCTTCAAAACAGGTAGTTGGCTTGCTCTTTTCCAGGCCTCTCTGCCTTTACTTCAGCCTTTGTTGCTTCTCTGATGTTGGATAATGCCCCTCTGCCCAGTGCATTGTGTTTTATTGGTGAGAGTTGCAGGATTTGACAGAGGAGGCAGCATGAAGTGGCTGCAGTTTTCATGTGCTCTGCCAGAGGGGCAGGGCTGGGGGTGACCCGCAGGTTTCCGGCGTGGTTTCCCAACTCAAGCTCGTTCCATCAGGCCTCCTGAACAGGAGCTGTCTGCATACAGCTTACAGTTTCTTACAGTTTCTGCCTGGTTTACTTATCCCTCTCTCTGTCTGTGTGACTGCATTAAAGCAAATTCTTCTCAGTGGGGAATGACATGCAGGAGCCATTTTCCTTTTTAGCCTTCTTTTCATCTCTCTACACTCCCATTAAGTGGGTGAGCTGAAACTTCCCCAAGCCATTCTCCTGGCTCCTTTATGTGTAGAAATCTTGTTCTCACTCCTTTGACATGCTTTGCTAATGCACTGCTTTGCTTCTCTTGCTTTGCCTCTGTGCTGCTCTTTCTTGCAAATCCCAGAGAAAAATCTCCTTTCTTCTCCCATTCTCTTTTCAAAGAAGTTTTCAAAGGCCTGCGATACTGCAGCCACATTGTGGTTGAAGGTGATGTGCAGAGTTTTATCAATTGGGTTTTCTGGCCTGTTGTGCTGCCTTTGAGAAGGATAAAGGAAGGAAGTTTGGAAGTTTCCTAACAATTTTTCTTTGAAACCTCAGATATGTCATTTCAGGTCTGTGCTCCTTTTCATGGAGGGAGTGGTATGGATGTGGGCTTTTGGAGCCTCACATTACAGCTGAATAAATGCGTGGAAAGATTCAGCATCTTTCCAAAACATTCGCTGTCTTTACAGTTGGATAGGTTTCAACAGAGTCTCAAAATAGTCTGATTAGGGATTGATTTTTTTGTAGAGGAAATTACACTAATTTGACTTTTAATTAGATGTAGTAGTCAGTGTAAACCTTCCTCCAATTGTGCATGTTCCTTAAGAGCTGTTTGTTGATTGCAAACAGGATTAATATATGTGACTTACTCCAAAATAGGAGTGCCCTTACAGTGTTGCACAAGTCCAGCTATAATGATGCAAAGCCAATATTAAGTCATGTTTTCCTCACATAGCTAATGCCCCCTGATTCATTCTTTCTTTCATTTGCTCATTGTTTGCTCCGCAGGTGATGTCAGCATTTCATGAATTTCCCATTTCTTCAAAGTCTGCAAGTTAAGTGTGACCTGAGCTGCTAATAGGGAGAAGAAAAACTTTAGAATCTCTTTCGGCCCCAGCATGTTCCATACAGAAGCAAGAGAGGACACAGGCTCTGCTTTTATTTCCTTACAAAGTAAATGTTAAGCTGTGAGCTTACTTTTCAAGGCTGTTTTTTGGCCCCTTGTGTAAGTCACTCCAAAGAGTTCTGGTAGCTTTCACATTGGCCGCCAGGCCCGGACTCCTGCACAGTGAGTTAGGAGGACTCCTGGGGTGTAGGACGGAGCAGCTCAGCTAGGCTACAGGAAGCATTCGAAGTTTCTCCTTGTAGCAGGCTGACACTCTCCTGTGTCGCTGTCTGCTCTTCCAACTCCAAAAAAGAGATGAGCCCCAGCTCCCTGTGCTGAAGATAAATTGATTTAACTCTAACTTGAGCTATTCTTCCTTTTTGAGCTTGTTGGCTCAGGGGAAACACTGGAAAAAGATTTACAGAAACGACAGGGCCATCTTGTGTGTTGTCATCGTGTCCTCTCTTCTCCCAAACTTGTGTTAAAGCACACCCAACTCCATCTATACCACTCGTGACCAGTGTATGTAGCAAAGTTCCTCTTAAAACCTGAAGCTTTCTTGAAGGTGGTAATACCGCCACCTTAGTCCCAAATAATCTATTCCACTGCTTCAGAACTGTTAGAGTTGGAAGTATTTCCTCTTTTCTAATGTAAATCTTCTTCATCTTAAATTAAGCTGAGTACTTCTTGTCCCATCCCTGGGGAGCCAGAGAAATATTACTCACTGTTCTCCTTCTGACCTCATTTTACATATGGGGAGGGTATTTGCTCTGTTCCTCCTAACCCTTCTTTCTGGAGACTAAAACAGCTGAATATCTTGGGCTCTGCCCTGCAGCTACAATTTCTGAGCCCTCTGCTTTCATGATGTGTTACTCCAACCTCCTCTTCTGGGCTTGCTGGGGCTGCTGCCTCATCCTTCCTAGAGACCTCGGACATGTATGTGGATTGGACATCTTTTACCACTCGTGCCTTGGCCCTAGCAGCAGTTCTTGAGGCCAGGACCTCAATTGTGATTGGTCTTTCTGCTGCTGAGACCCATGGGAATGCTGCTGGTCAGAATAAGGGGTATGAGCTTACACCCTGCTTGGGGCATCAGTCCCCTTTCTGCAGGCAGTCGTGCTCCCCAGATCAGAGGACTCTCCGTGCCCGTTTACCTTGTCTTCTCTTGTCAGAGTGGGCTTGATCCCTGAGGTGGGGAGCCTTTGGTAGGACTAGGCCCAAATCTGATCAGCAGGGCTCCTGTCTCCTGTATGGGAGACAAAACCCAGTGCAAACCACTTAAACTTAAATACTTGGGCTTTAAGCACAAACATTTATGCTAGCTTGCTCAGGTTGTTAGGGTCTGTGTTAGCAACGAGGCTCACTGAGGTTCATTTCACAACTTTCCCTTTTAACCTTCCATGTTTTGATTTGTTGCCCACTGTCTTTTACCCATTCTACCCTTGGGGAGCTTTCTACCCTTCCCCTCCTTTTCACCAGGACAGCAAGTGAGACCCTCAACCATATAAACACTGCTGACTTGCTCCTCCAGCCCTAACTGTTCTATTCCTCATTCTGCTTCTATTTAATTCACCCCCCAATGCTTTTAAAAAGCACGAAGCACTAACCAGGTCAGCAACAACCTTATTATCACAGGCTCCGAGTCTCTGGAAACTGTAATCCGGTTGTTTGGATGAGCTTGTGTCAGTTTTGCTTTCTGTTACTGCTGCACAGTTGCTGACACAGATGATGTTTGACTTTGTTTTCTCGTTGCCGAGTACAGCTGAGACTGAGCCCAGTCTGAGGCCTGCCTGTTTGGCCAGTGCATCTGCATGCACAAAGGGGAAAGGGAAGCTGCTATGCAATGAGGTTGTCCAGCTCCTGTTTGCAGACTGTGCAGGTGACCATAAGTCTAGGCATTGTTAAGGGATAAGGTTGCTTCTTCAGAAATAGCTGGTGATCCAGCTTCAAGTGTAAGGCACTCAGCACAAAATGCATACAGGTGGCTCCAAACCCATGGAGCCAGCTGCATGCATTTTCCACTCGCTTGGGCTATAACTCATGTTTACAGCACAGTAGCATGGCATCTCTCCTTTTTTTGACTCCAGATTCTTGGCTCTGCAGTATAGCCACGCCTGGTATGTCAGGCTTTGGAGCAGGAGAGTTCCAGTTAGCACCTCAATGGGCACTGGCAGAAAATGCCCTCCCAACTACAGCCTAGAAGTGCTAGCTTTCCCCATCTCCTTGCCCTGGTACAGGAAACTCATCAGGTCGTGTTAGCTAACGCATCAAGGCAGAGAATCCTCTCTGATCCCTGCCTCCCTGGGAATTTGCTCTCCTTGCTAGGACATCACTGTAGATGCTCCTGTTATTCCAGCAAGCACCTAATCCTCTGAGATTTCTTGCTAAGCTAGAGTCTCGATGAGCATTGGCTGCAGCAAGTTCTCTGGGGCTATTACGGCATGTAAAACAGTTCCATGCTGAACAAGGAAGTTGGCAGTGTCAAAGCTGCTGTGCTCACTGGGAGCAGAGAGAAGTCTCTTGGCTAAAATGTTTTATTTTGTCTTTGTCAGGTTCGGTCCATCAGCATTAATGTGAGGAAGAACCTTGCTAAGGAATTCTCCACGATCTCTTGAAGCTGGGGCACAGCTGCTGTGCAGGGCTGACCAGAGAAGGGCCTATCTGGGCAGGGACACTACAGATCTGCAGCCGGTTGTGCCTTGCCTTCCACCTGCATAACGAGACTGCATTTCTTCTGAGGGGGGGAAAGCCTTGCTGCTGTGTGTTTGATCCCAAGGGCGTGTGTTTCAACAGGACTGTGGCTAAAGAGAGGCGATTGCCATGTTGAGGAGGAGGAGGGAGCAATTTTGCAAGATGCTATGGGGATGGGCAGCTGTTCCTGTCCAATAGCAATGGGAGATTCCCTCTTGCAGCCTCAGGGGAGATGCACTGAAAACCTTTGTAGCAGAGCTAAGGAGAGCTCACAACAGAAACAATAAAACCAGTCCAGTTGTGTGAGGCAATTCTGGGTTGAGATTGCTCGCCTGCTCTACAGAAAGACTCTCTGCCCCTAGGTAAGGGCTGCTTTTTTTCAGTCAGCCTGGATCAATCCTTCCTCCAACATTGTAGGTCAAAGCCACTGCCATCCTGCGATGGGTTTCAATATCCTTGGGAATGGTTTTGGGATATAAAACAGATCCCTTAGGGAGCAGGCCCTGCTTGCTGCTGGATCCTGGTGTCAGAAGGTATAAATTGAACCAAGCCCCCAAATTACTGGAGGAGAAAGTTTGCCTCCAAGGTTGTTGGCTTATAGGATCCAGTCTGAGCCAGTATGCAAGGATATGGGTCATCAAACAGAGCACTTTGGTTGAGGTCACTGTTGCTTCCAGTAGCCCAGCTCATCTCTGCTGTTTTTAAGGTTAGTGGGAATTTTTTTTAAGATGTTCCACTTTCACGGGGCCGACTCCTTCCCACTCCCTTTATTGCCCATCAGAGACTGCATTATGACAATCCTCCTCTTCCTCATAGAAATGCCTGCTTTGCACATGCAGGCAGGTAGGTGTCCGGTGAACTTCATGAGCTAAAGAATCCCCTTTTTTTTTTTTGCCCTAGTATGTAGCTTGCAGCTTCTACAGTTAAAATGCAGCTGGAGAAGCAGTTAGACCTGCAGTCTTTGCAAAGCGGCTTACAACTACAGTGTGCTGAGACCTGACCAAGAACTTCCTAAGGAAGAGCTCCAGGATGATGTTCTAAGAGCAGGGGCTTAGACAAGCCTTTCTGCCCAAGAGCCGATGTTTGAGAGGGGCTCAGGTCAGGCAGAGCCTGTTCTTTGAGTGCTGTGTCAGGTGGCCAACTCAGGAATACACACCCTCTCTCTGTTCACGCATTCTCAGCTCCCAGCAGTGACGTTAAGACCTGGCCTGACTTGGTAGGTTGAACCAGAGAAGTTATTTACATCCTAGGTCCACCTTTTTCTAGAAAACAGTAAAAAGTGCCTAGTCCTGCTCTTAGCCTCATAGGTTGGAGTAGTATGAGTGATGTGAATGTCATGCTCATTCTCTGCCATGTTTTGGCAAAGCTCATTCATGCTACATCTTAATTACATTAATGTTTCAGCTTTACCTGCCATAAGAAGCATGGGAAATTGAAAACTGCATCCTTGGCCACCCGCAGGCCGGAAAGCTAGATGAGGAGTCTAGGTTTTCCTTGGGAACACCAGCTTCTCCCAACAGAGGAGGCTTTTCCTCAGCCGTGAATTGTCAGGCTTTTGTCAGCTGCAGCTGGACACTTACATTTGCTTTCCTGCCAGTTGTGTGTGGAAGTGTGTGCGTGTCAGAGGAAGGGCAAGCAGGCTCCGTAAAATCACTGTGCTTGAGAACAGACCAGGGCACGTAGAAGGGGTCCACTTCTCCAGTGGCAAGTGGAGATGGTTAAGGGACTGGAGCATTCCTCATATGAGGAGAGGCTGAGAGCACAGTAACTGTTTAGGCTGGAGAAGAGAAGGCTTGGGAGGATCTTATTAATGTTTATAAATATCTGATGGGAGGGTGACAAGAGGATGGGGCCAGACCCTTCTCAATGGTGCCCAGTGATGGGACAAGAGGCAAGGGGCACAAAATGAAACAGGAAATTCCACTTCAATATAAGAAAACGCTTATATACTGTGAGGGTGGTTGAACAGGGGAATAAGTTGCAAAGAGGTTGTGGAGTCTCCATCCTTAGAGATATGCAAAATCCAACTGGACACAGTCCTGGGCAGCCTGTTCTAGCTCACCCTGTTTGAGTGGGGAGGTTGGACTAGATGATTTCCAGAGGTCCCTTCCAACCCCAGCTGGTCTGTGATTCTGATTCTGTAAATGCGTGAAAATAGTTTGCAGTACATAGCACTGCTGTCTGTAGTGCAAAGAGGAAGATCTTGCTGAACTATTTCCTTGCTTTGGGGGCGACTTCTTTCCCAAAGGTGGCTTGAGTTGCTTCCTTTGGTCCAGCGCCAGCATCACCACTGCCAGAGCATCAAATCAACTAACTGTTCACGTGCCTCCTTTTCTGTGATCCTGTTTAGGCTGATACTAGGCAAATAGATAAAGAGTTGGGGAGAGGTCTCCCTCTGCAATCTCTGGGATTTTCAGCTTTCCAGTCTGGGCTCAGCTATTGAAGGTCTTGTCTTCCCCATAGTGCTCCCTTGCTGGGATGGACTGGTAAACCCAGGCTGTGACTGGGAGCAGCTCCTGAGGTTGACCCTCATCAGAGGCTGAGCTGGGGAAGATTGGGATGCACATCTTCTTGTCACACTGTCACTGAACCAAGCACTGTAAATGGATGTATATATAAACCTAGAGGTCAATAAATAGCGGAGCCCTGCCTGTTTGAAGCCTGCTGTGTTCGTTCTTTAGGGGAGAGGTGAGCAGGGCAGTTTTGGGAGGTGCTGCAGCTTCCCAGCCATGCAGTAGGCATGTGTCTGGGACCTCTACCTCCTTGTGGCGCAAAGCTTATGCACAGCTATCCCCTGCTCAGGGCACGTGAGTCCTGGCAGGGGTGCAAGGAGTTGGGCATGTGTGGCCACATACACAAGTGGGAAGGGGCTCCTGTGTGCCTCAGGCAGGTTCTTCTGTGCCCATTATGTCCTCACTACTGGGTCAGTGCCCAACCTGCTGCCTGGGTGCTGAGCTATGTCGATGAGGGCACGCGTTCACGGTGGCTCTGTTACTCATTTGGTGACATGTTGGCTACAGCGAGGGAATCACCAGCCCTTGGGCTGTTGCCCGCCTGCTTGCAGAGGGAGGCTGCTGTGCCTTTCGGCTATGCCTGCTCCTTGGTCAGGGCCACGGGTATCGGACAGACGTTAGTCAGCAGCCCCCAGCCTTCCTCTGTGTCGCTGGAGTTGCTGGGGCCCTAGTGAGGAGGATGAGCCAGGCTGAGAGCGCGTGGATATGACCAAGGGATGCAGAGCTCTACCTACACACAGTGTAGCATTATCTCTGCTGCCGGAGTCGCCAAACTCCTCCTCGCTGATTCTGCAGCAGATTGGCATGTTCTGCTAATCGCCACGATATCTGTCCTTGGGTTTTAAGGCCAGCTTGAACTGAGCAGAAAGTCATTTAACTCTAATGTTCAGCCTCGAAATGTGGCTTGTGGCTCCAAACTTTCCTGCATCTGATCTGAACAGCTGAGTAAATTTTATTATGCCTAATTCATAATCCAGTCTATTATTGGAAGAGCTGTTTTTAAGGCTTGGAGAGTGTGGGGAGAAATCAGATTGCTGCCTTTAAATTAGGCAGCTGCTGCAGGGAGACAAATATTTTACAAAATAATGACCAAATTCTGTAGGAGAAAAATTGAGTTTGAGCTAAACTTTGGAGGGAGTTATTAAAAATTGATTTGTAAGTGCTACTATGGTTTTTGGTATCAGTTCTCCTTCCCTCGCTCTTACAGGTCCCATTTTTCATGCACCATTGAGAGAGAGAGAGGCAGCTCTTCAGGAGGAAGCTGGTCAAATCCTGCAGTAGCCTCCCTGAGCCTCCCCAGCCTGCTCTTGGACTGCAAGCTGTTGGAGGAGTTGCCATGCCTTGGGCACAGGGTGCTTGAGGGAGGCTGGTGCGGGATGTCGGTGGCAGGTCCTGCTCTGGGACCTGCCAGGCTGTTGCACGGTGGGCTGACAGGAGGAGAAGCTGCAATCTTAGCTTGTTCCTGGGCAAAGCGTGACCTTGAGTTGTCTCCCGGGTAGCTCTTGCACTGGATTCCCCATCTGCCTCCCCCTGCTTCCCTCCTGGATGCAGCCGAGGACCAGGAGGGCAGGTGGAGCTCGCATCCTTCCCCGCTGCCATCTAGCGTGGGCATCATTGCCCCTGCGGAGTTGTGGCTGCCGTCTTGCGTGTGGGGGCTGGTGTGGGGCCAGCAGTCTGAAGGTGAGATTTACAGCTGGCTCTCCGCATTTGCAAGCAGCGCTCTATCTAGGTGTCAGCACTAATGCCTCTAGGATATTTATTCTGATCTCCTCTCTTCTGGGCTCTGTTTTCTTGTGCAATGCTTGTTGGGTTGAGCAAGTGCTGCATCTTGTCTGCACTGAACAGGGTTGTACTGGACGGAGGTCTGCCCCTGTGGACGTGATGGGGTTTTGGACGGACTCCAACCATTGCAGTAACCCGGAAGGAATGGGGCAAAGCCCAGCTTTGGGAGCTGCAGAAACACAAAGGGGCCAGAAGAGGATGAGCTTTTCCCCCAGAACTTGCAGTGGAAACCAATGAATGCGTTTGCTGACCTTTTTTGAGGAGAGAGGGTGGGGGGGGGGAATGACACAAAAACAAACTAATCAAAGTCTGGGCCAGGAGGATGGAGAAGGGCTGTTGCAAGGCCTATGGGAACCATCCCGACTGCCCTGAGCCATGTTTTCCTCCATCCCTGCGACAGCTGGGGTGGAGGGCAGGCAGCCTGTGTCAGGGTAGTTTTGCCGGCGAGAGGTGAAGGGGGAGCCGGGGGATGGCAGCGCATCCCAACAGCACAGGCAGCGTGCGGCGTGTTCCCGTGCCATCTGGCACGCCAGGCTGCTCGGGGCCCATCGCCGCAGAGCCTGTGTTCGCTGGGGCCCGGGGACTTCACGTGAGCCTCGTGAGCCCTGGGAAGGCAGCTCAGATTCAGG